TACTCAAAACCGGTCGGAGACCTGAATCATATGAACCATAGGTAAAAATATGGACGGCGGTCTATTGGTACTATGCTTTCACACTTGAAAACGCTGACTGTAAAAAGGTACTGTTCTTATAGTTTTTCAGCCAACTCTTTTGAAATAGACGAAAATCAAGGAAATATTGGTGTAAGAGATTCGATTATTCTTTAAGGTGAAACTCTGGATGGATCAGATCGTCCCCAGTTCGTCAGTCTACCAATCTGCAAATGTGGTGTGCCCGGATATGCCAACACCACCGGTAAGAATAGAATGGATAGATAATAAAGGAGGATTGTGGAGGCCACCACTATCATGTTGAAGGCAGTTGGCACGATGGTTCCCTACTTAGCCTAAAATGCTAGTAGGGCGCTGTATAGTGGGGAAATGGCGAAAGAACGGAGTGAAACGGTCAAAATCCTGCGAAGAAAAAGTTCTCAGTGACTTGTAAATCGATTTCGGACGAGTTTCCCGTAGGCATCTTACCAATCACCGCTACCGAAGATACGGCTGCATATGTGTACCCATGTATGCATGCAGCATCACGGCCGCTTCATACCAATCCCTTCGCTTCATAATTTGCTTAGCAAATGAATGAATACGAGAGGAACGGTCGTCCATTTGTGGGCGGGCGGGCGTGGCGGGCGTTTGGGACGTAAAGTTGTGGCTTGATAGGGCCCTTATAAGGGCACCTTCCTCGGGGAAACCGCTATGCAGCGCCTGCCCAGGGTCGCGGAATTCTATCCTGCCAGGAGTATTGATCCTAGTCGCCTTGGGGGATTTATCGTGCCAACTGCCTTGTAAGCATCAGGGCCTAATAGCGTTATTGCTAAAAGCTGAGTGATGTGTTTATTCGAAGCGTAACAGAGCGAATACAACCAGATAGCTAATTAGAATTTTTTTCAGCATCTGAAAATTGAACCAGTACCAAAACCTAAAGGACACCTCATTGGAAAAGGAAGCGATTTAGTATCGGTTGAAATATATACCTCCGTTAAATATTTTAATGGGGATTACAGATTATTTGTATGCTTATTTCGACAAAACAAAAGTCAGTAGCCAGACACACTTCTTCTCTCAGAGCAGGTTTTTTTCAGATCTTCGATTTCTCTGCTTTAGATTAGAGAATACTCGGAACTCCTCGGAGAATTTGGACACTCTCTGGGGTGGAGAAACGTGGAATATCATTACGTTGCCTACAACTTCGAGATCAAGAAGACCATCTGTAAAAAGGTAATGCATGGGCGGGTACTCAAGGGAATATTATACACAGTAGAGGCCAATAGATCTGCTCCTCATGTGTTAGAGATGGTTATAATTTTTGAGGTATTACTCTGGCTGCAAGAAGTCGTGAACAGCTCGAGCTTCTTCAAAAAGTTTGTCACGACCGGTAAAAATGGACTGGACTGCAACTACTCGATGCCAGCATATCACCAGCACAAACATCACAGGCTCGAGTAAAAAACAAAGGAAATTTGTCGAATTCTCGATTAGCGAAAAATAAACCTTGAACATCCTGTTTGAGCAATTATTACGTTGAAGGGAAAGTCAGGCTGAATATTTTTGAACTAGAAATACTTGGAGATGATGTGCGAGCAATGATACAGCATGCACTAGTCTTTCTATCAGTACAACTCGCTCGACTCCCACTTCTTATTCCTTTTAAGAGTCGAGAGCCCATGGAGTCTCCAGAGCGGTCCACCCCATCCAAAAGATCCAAAGCTTGTACAATAAAGCTGTGGCTCATTCTTTGCAGCGTTGTAGCCCAGACACTCTTCTTCTAACAGATGGTTATCATCCGTACTTACTCCATGTAGGGACGAGAAAAGCTTCACCGGCGCCCAAGTCAAAGTGTCAGTTTCGAGATAATGTCCAAATCTCCATCACCCCGGCCGGGATTGTAAGCGATGGCTTCCATGAGGTGCTCAAAAACTGGCAAGAACCCCAATGACAATGTATTGAATCTTAATCTTGTAAGTGTCTCTATGAGAAGAAAGCCTTCTTCCAAAAAATACGACAGAACTCTCCCGCCAAACTAATCCAATTTCAAGCATTTATCCACTGCACACCTGTAAAGGTTCGACAGGGAGTTTATAAGAAGTGAATGGGGCAAAGCGCCCATCGGGCAGTCACTCGAATGTAGATAAAAGTGAAAATAATCACTCGAGGGGTGACCGAAAACTTTCTGTCGACCGCCATCACTCGTGGCCCAAACTCTTGGCCAAGTGCGAGAATTTGCATGGAGAGCCACTCACAAATACTCTAACTCACAAAATAGTAGATCAAAGCCAGCTTATATCATCAGCTCAATAAATGCGTTTAGGACTGGAACACTAACTTTAAGTCACCTGTTTGTTGCATGCACAGCTTAAACAAACTGAAGAGTAACATCCTCACTCCCGGAGCGATGGTCAGTGGACAAACTGAACTCAGTCTCTTTGATGGCATTATATCGTCTCTCTAACAACTATCTCATCTTTCGTCGTCTCACCGTCTCACAAGCAAATGGTTTCAATTTTTCATGTAACTCAGTATGAAGACCTAGGTACATCGATAGAGTCTTGAGTTGCGAATTGAAAGTGCTACGGGGGTCTCTCAAACGAATTCTGGGTGGTCAATTTTTGCCTAAATGCGATGTTGGCACGTGCACAATACTGAGCGGCCCCAATGGTGTGGCAGTCTCTGGGAAGAAACGCTTCTTTCGGTACATATCGATTGGCGATTGGGCGAAGAGCCTAGCGCTTCCGCGAAACGTTTTGATACGTATCGACGGGCGGTTCGGCGAAGCGGTTGGGCGAAAAACGCTAGCCCGACCACCCTGGCGTTTTTCTCTAGGGCGGAGCCTGCGAAATCGATACGCATCTATTGCTTTTCGCTCGACAGCTAAACCGCTGCGGTTCGTCGAGCGGAGCGGTTGGCGATTATCCAATCAATCCGTAGTCAGGGTCGCAGACTGTGAACCATACCTCACCTATATGAGAATTCAAAGTTTTGGGTCAGAATCACAATTTGGACAGAACTCATTCCTGGGGGTGTTTTGAGTATCACATCCTTGGATGCGTAAACGCCTGTAGCGCGGTAAGCTGGGCAGGCACTGGCACCAAGCCAACATGAAACACTGAATCCGTTTAAGTCGTGCCTCCACTGCAATTAAAATTTTCAGGATGGGAATATTAGGCTCACTAGGTCAAAAATTTCGCCTGGAATAGATCGACAGCAGGCACCTTTCAGGTTGTTGTGGTCGGCGCCTATGATGAGAGAGCCGTTCGCTATCGCGTCAAACGTCAAACAGATGTGACATTCGTGCTCAGGACTGTCAAAATGAATCCCAATAACAAATTCCTGGCCAAATTGAAATTTTGACCGAACCTCGAATCGTCGGATTGGTGAGGGGTCCATGTGACCAATTGTGACCAATGGCCACGCCATACAGAGGGGGCCCAAAAAAAAGTCACTTTTCTTCATTGAATCAAGGCGCTATAAGTTACACTTTATTGAATTCTGATCGGACATTTTTACCACCATATTGAAGAGCATATTAAATACTATCATGACACTCCGCCACAGCCTTCTGGAGGAGCGCCATCGAGAGATTCTGCCACGCGACCGTGAGTGGGTACCTGAGTTCAGCGAGATCGTTGATTTCTCCGCCACTGTAGACCACCCTATTGAACTCCGCCCGAACCAGGTAATTGAGGGGGTTTAGTTCAGGTGACCTGCTTAGATATTCCACCTTCTTCAGGTACTCAACGCCCTTCCATTCCAAGTAGGCGAGAGTTTTTCCAAGGCTCTTCGATACCTTGTGGTGGCACCCTATTTATGTTTTGGCGTTGTGCTAGTGGCGGTTGATTTTGGTGATTTTCCTGTTTCACGGACTATATGCCCCCCGCCCGACAGCAATGTTTTCAAAAATCTCTGGTAAAATGCACTATATGCCCCCCCCCCTCCCGCTCGACGGCTCGATTCGATGAGGAAGGACAGAGGGCTGGGGGAGGGGGGGGGGTCGTACCAACTCCCAAAAAAAAGGGGGGAGGTCGTACAGACTCGACTAAAATCCCCATCAATGATGTGCTCTGTCGACAGCTCGATTATATCAGGGAAGGGAACTAGAGGTCATATCGAGGCACCTTTCAGATGGGGGGGGGGGTGGAAGGTCGTACGGAATCAACCAATATCTCCAACTAATGATGCGCCCTGGCCTATTTCCTCCTCTGATACAATCGAGCTGTTGATCGGGGCAGGGGCGGTATAGCACTTGTCAAACGAGATGAGAGGAGAATACGACTCCACCCTTCTCCTCTCTACCTACCACTTCCCAGATTTCCCCAACTTCGCCAAGTCTTCCCGGGACTTTTTAGGGTTTTTTTCTTTCCCGAAATTCTGCTGCCTAGCGCTGCGGAGGGAATCTATTATATATAGCAATGCGAAACAGGAACAACCGCAAAAAGTCAACAGCCTTAGAAAATTTTTCCCAACGCCGACAATTTCTCTCGAAGGTAAACGACTTCTCCCCATCGAGCGTCTGTGAAACAAGAAAAGTTAACTGTCACAAGAGTTCCTCTAACCAAATACGACTTACCCCCTCCCTCTGACGACCAAATACGACCGCCACCTGTTGCGAATTCCACAACGTGATATGCCTCAATCAAACTACCCTTCAAAAGGATGGGTCGTACGATTCGACCGAAATCCCTAACCAATGATGTGCCCTGCTCGTAACCAGCCTCTCCGGGATCCGCTGTGCGCGCCATATGCCACTACCCTCCGCCCGAATTAATCTTCTATTATGCGATTCAAAAAAAGAAATCATTTATCACAGTGATGATCACAAGAGCCTGAAAGCGTATTTGACATTATATACAGACATTTTGTTCAGTAAACCACAGCCTTCATCGACACGCTGGGGCAGACTTGAATACATGGTTCAAATTCACTATCAGCATCACCATCGAACCAACAAATGAGCCGATCTAGAAAATAGCACTGCTATAATTCAATTTTGAAGAAGAATCCGTAATACCAGTCACGGAACATTATTGTTGTGGAATCTTTTTCTGTATGACCTCCTGGGGATATCGTACCTTGTCGCTAAGACGGAGGGCTCCAGGATAGGCCCGCTAATTTTGCTTGAAAGTTGATCCTTCCCTTCAGGCCCCATCCCTCTCCTCTCTCTGAGTGATCATCTAGGTGGGACCTCTCGAGCGCGCAGATTCCCTCGACACTGCATCTGATCATCTAAAGTGGACTAGCTCTCCTTCTGTGTCTGTGTCTGCTAGTCAGGCGCGTGATGCCACGGCGTGGAAGTAACGCTCAACCACCCCCCCCCCTATAACCAGGTGCAATAAGCAACAAATTGAATAATGTGCAAAAATTGAAGAGCCTCACCATCTTCACAAAACGCTACCTAGCATACCTGCGTGAATACTCCACACCAAAATAGTCGTGCTTCACTTCGATCGCATTCTCGTAGACGAGAAGCGAAAGCTACCCGCAGGTATGAATGAAGTCCAGCTGCAACCAATGACGCCATTATCTGGAACCATGAACTGCTCGTTGGTAGCTGAGCTTTGATTATATGATAAAGAGAAAAATGCGCAAATTCATCGGACATACGTAAGTCCTACGGAGGGACAAGACTAACAAGGGAGGTCGTTCAGGGCGTGGTGAGCTTTTTCAAAATGGTCTTGTGCATATTGTAGGGGCACATACGAGGACCAGAAAACTGAGGTTCATTTTCGCTGCGCGCTTCTACGAATAAAAAAAACGTAAAAAATAGGTCGATGGTTCGGATCCCACCGAGGACAAAATTTTGCTTTTCTACAATTTTTCATTTTTTGGATCCATGTTTGTCTAAATAATTGGTCCTAACAAAAACATTCACGATAAACTGAACAATCCTACTTTTATGGAGCAAAACTGCTTTTTCGTTCGAATTCGTTAGTATGCACAGACTCAGCTCTTCGGCGCTATGCCGGTGCCAGATGGCACTGGAACCGAAAATAAAGTCTAGAATCGTGATCAGGACTGTCGATTACCCCTAGGAGCAAGTTTTGAGCGAAAAAATTTTGACTTTTTCGGGTTGTAGGTGCCGACCATTTGGTCGGCAGTGTGAG